CACTGCATTAAGTTTTGCAGTGGGGAAGGACTAGAAAGGAACATAGGAACCATTCGTGCTAGTCCACCCTCCCACCCATCCCACCCCAGGGGATTTGGGGTAATCACAGTAATCTCGTGTGTGGGAAATTAACGTCTCCTACCCCAACCCTGCAGGAGACGGGACCTCCATTTATTCATCCCTATCCGAGAAGACTAGAATATCTAACCATTTCTTGATGTTATAGAAAGGTAGCAACTTCTTCTCAATATTTTAAGACCCTGAGTGTTGGTCCGGCCGGGACTCGAACCCTCGACCTCCTGCACAACAGTCCAGTGCTCTATCCATTGAGCTAACCGAGAAGCGGTTGAAATTCGTTTAAAACTTTAGTTGTTGAGAACATTAAATGCAAATATCACCAAGATATGCAATATCTGATTTTTTAACTTCATTAGTGAGTTGTCCCTATGAAAAGTAGGGGCCAGCCCGCAGACTTTCACATGCTTAAAACTCATTCCCAGCAACCTTTGGGCCGATGATACAAACTTGTCCGGTCACGTAGGCCTTTCGCTCTGAAATTCCGACTGTAGCGCCATGTAGACCTGCGCTTTTGATCATGTCTGCATGGAAAAGGCGAGTTATAAATTTTCAATTATCATTATTATTATTATTATTATTATTATTATTATTAGACATTCTAAGCCAATCACATGGCAAGTTTCAGCTCCAAACTATCAAACGTGACCTTCGGAACCCAATTAACCCGTTCCATGAAAATCATTTTCGTACGTTTTCAATCTGCGAAAATGGCGTCCGATGCCAAGCGTCGGGGATACAGCGTGGCTGAGGCTTTAGAGATTAATTTCAATGATGGAAGTAAGCACGGTGGTATGGTTAGTGGTGAGGAATCAGATTTGGACGAGGAACTGGAAGATGTCAGTGAAGAGCCGAGGTAAGTAATCAGTAAACATTCTTGCGATATTCAAAAACGTGAAGCATGTGGTCTTGAAACGGTGTAAAATTACACTTACTTTTATTTTTCGCGTATGGATCCTTATTTTTTTTTTTTTGTTTTTTTTTTTTTTGTAAACAATTGGTAAGGAAATAATCTCTTAATAACATGGGTCAATTTTTACTGTTTTGTGGTAGAGTTTGGAAAAAAAAATTAAAACAGCTCTTTATTTGTTCTTTTTCAGTGAGATTCTGTGGATGTTTTGATCCAACGATATAGAAATAAGGAGTATGATAAATTAGAAAATAGGTTGATGATAACAATAAGATTGGCTTGACCTGAATCTTAATCTTAATCGTCCTCAAAGTTGTTTCACCCAATTCATCTACATATGCTTCAGTAAATTTGCCAACTGTGTCGCTTTTGAGATATCGAGTCAGTTTTGAGATATCGAGTCAGTTTTGAGACATCGAGTCACTTTTGAGATATCGAGTCACTTTTGAGATATCGAGTCACTTTTGAGATATCAAGTCACTTTTGAGATATCAAGTCACTTTTGAGATATCGAGTCACTTTTGAGATATCAAGTCACTTTTGAGATATCAACTCACTTTTGAGAGATCGAGGGAAGATTTCGCAGAAAACAATTTCATTTCTCCCAACCCTAGAGCCATTCTCCCGCTGCCATTAAAAGGTACCAAAGCACTCCAGCCCATTTGCTATCGGAGAGGGATGTCAGCGATAATCGATGGCATGTTGCATGGTTTACTTTCTTGCTAAAGAGTCCTATTACATCAATTCGGTTCCAGAAGAGAGGCGGTCGCAGGGACTGCAGCTATCTCATTTGAAGCCACCTACCTTCATTTTCCTGGGAGTTAATTAAGCGCCTGCTTGCGCAATAACTTTTGCAGAGTGTTGAGTATTAAACAGAGTGCGTTTAAGAAAAAGTCGTGATAAACACAATCCGATCCTCGCCAATTGACCGATTGTAATCGGTAGCGTAAGAAATCAAATCCTGAGCGCAAAAAGGCATAACAACATGCTTAACACCTTGTTGTCGTGGTTACCCTCTTTTAGGTGGGTTATTTTGGTTCGTACAGCATTCTCTCCTCACTTGCATAATTAGTTCAAGAGATATCGCTAATGCTTCAAAATTAAAAAGGCAAGCAATCTGCAAGTATAAAAGGGTGTATATTGATTTTTATTGTATGGATGGTATCTTTTCTTGATTGATGAATTCAGTGATATCCATGATCTCGAACCGAAACTTTTTCAGCGAAGGGAGATTATCTGCTTGCAAGGCAAGAAAATATTAAAACTTTTATCTAGCTGATGCAGGTGAAACTGTGGCTGATTTACTACTAATTATTATCCTTTTCCGGCAAATATGCAGCTCCTTTCTGAAGTCTGATGGATTTATCTTTGCCTGTGAAAGGAAATTGAACACGACCTCTCAATACTTTGTTCACAAAAGATTTGATCAATTATTGATAAACGTACAAACCATATAAAGTCTCGTAGTTCTTCTCATAATTTGCCTCTGCCTTTTCAACGCTCATCGCTTCTCCCAGCGACTGGGGAACTAAGGCTGCAGAGAAATAAAATCAGCGAACAAGATAACAGAATACTTTGATCGTTGGACCTGAAAGACAATGATGATAATGATGATGATGATGATGATGATAATGATGATGATGATGAAGACGATGGTGACGAGAAGGATGAAACAATCTATTTGCCAGCCTTTAGTACTATATGGAATTGGTCATTGATTTAAATTAAATGAAAAATGGCATGAGTCGTTAGTTAACAATTCTCATACCTTCATTAGTAAAACCCGCTAATTCCTGCGCTTCTGCGTTATGCAGTCTATCATAAGCTTCTGAGAAGGTCTTCACTGAAAATAGAAACAAATTGGAAAAAGCTGCTAACTCCACAAGCTAGATAAATAAAAACAATTCCAATAAAAGCAAAATAAATTCATTTAAGCTCTCTCTTTCGATCAAACTGAACAAAATGGTTTTACTGACTCAATTTCAAAGATGTGTTCCAGCACATTCATTTTTAAAACAAATAGCTATGTTATCACTAAACATTTACCTTGATATCCTCCGTTATTCTGGGTGGGTTTTGCGTGAGTTTCCTCTAAATAAGACAGAACACACGGCTTAATTCTCCTGGGATCTTCGACATTATAACTCTTCCTCTGTCATGCTCAATAAATATATATTAATGTATTAGTTTAATCACTTTCTTCATTTCAAGATTATGAAAAAATAACTTTTATAATTTCTTGCAATTAACTGAGTGCCTTGGCTCTACCCACCTAGATTTGCGGTGTAGTGCTAATGTTTTGAAGATTTTTTGTATTCAATATAATAAAGAAAGACTGCCAAAAACGTTTAAAGGCAAAGACGCTGGCTTGATACTCACCCGGATCTCTCAGGGGGTTCCCATAATCCTCTAAAGAATAAAAAAAAAAATTGAGAGCGTAAATTTGCGAGGCAAAGGAAGCAAAAGTCTGCTGGTCAGTTTAATTTTTCGTGATGGTCGCTTAGATGATGATGACTTGAGGGGACGTCTTCCAAAGACGTGATAGGTAAAGTATTTAGTACTTTGAATCTTGTAATCACACTTTCGTACAGGTCTCTAGGCTTTATGTTTTAAGACAAAAAGTTTTTCTGCTCCGGGAAAACTGCAGCCATTGACTATCAGCTTCGATGGCAAAAACTTTGAAAACATAACTACCCTAGGACAAAAAGCCCTGAGCCACCTTACTTTGAGTGAAAGCTTGAACCTCAGCTTCGATGGCAAAAACTTTGAAAAAAAAAAAAAAAAAAAAAAAAAAGCCCTGAGCCACCTTACTTTGAGTGAAAGCTTGAACCTCACCTGAGAGTTCACTGACAAACTCTGCTTGTGTCTCACGGGGCGGACCGCTGACAAACCCTGAGCGAAAGATAATTATGTCACTGCTCAGCGATATAAGATCAGTGACTAGTGTATCCTATAGATCAGTGATTGCTGAGCTAAGTTGAGTGGGCAACTAGAAGGTCCGTGTAGAGTGAATAAATTGAACAACTTTGTTAAGAAGTTTGTGAGCACTTTTCATGAACATACTCAATATGCAGAGCTTTTTATTAACACAGCAGTTAACAGGAACAAGAATCTTAACAGATGACAACATGCAAGTTTCACAAGTTTAGCAAAAAAACCGACTTTCTTTATGAACTATTAACAATAAAAATGAACATGCTACAAACGTAGTTCAACGATTGTCTGTGTCTTTTATTTGTCAATCTTAACCACAGTTGTTTTTTTGTCATTAAAGAATCCTGTGGCCTAAACGGAACTTAACGATCATCAGTTAGATTTGGAAATGATTTGTGGTCAGTTCTTGGATTCTGTTGTTGGTGGAGATTGAATACATCTTGGATTACACCGCCAAACATTTTGAAATAGGTTCTTTGTTTTTGTCCATAAAGAGAGCACTAACAAGGATTTGCGTAATCGTAATCGTAATCAAAGTTTAATGTCTTTACGTGGGGCATGGTTACCCATATTGCCCGAGCCATTTTAATTTCATCTGTGATATTTTGCACTCAGTGCCTTGGAGAATTTTTTTTCCCACCATCATGTGGCAATTAAATACCTTGGTGTGACATTTTTTGCAGTTAAGGAATCTTTGTACATGATTTTAAAAGACGTACAACATGATTTAAGATTCGAAACCGTAAGATGTGGTAGGAATTCTATTAAATATATGGGACCTCTCATTTGGTCGAAGTTACCAAGACACCTAAGAACGATAGATACTCTAAATTCGTTCAAGAAGAAGATAAGTAAAGTCGACCTTTCAACTCTTGTTGAAATTTAAAACTTAACAAAATAACTTTATAATCTTTTTAATTATCTACTGTAAATAACTATTATCTACATATGTAAATGTATTTGACTTTCAAATTTTTACTCTCCCCCATTAGCTTACTGCTAAAAACATAGACACTTAAATAAAGTTTTTTATTCATTCATCATTCATTCATTCATTCATGAAATTTCTGTTTGTCTAGCAGTTAAAAATTGGGTACAATGCTGGTTGTGGAAAGGGTTTCTGATGTAGAGAATAGTTTAGGAGTCCTTAGAAAAAAAAAAAGAAGTGATAAATGTTAAGCCTGATTGTAGACATAGCTGAAGCCCCCTATCCAGCCCTAACCTACTACCATCTTCAACATTTCATAGAAGAAAGCAAGAAAATTACCGGCGTTCGGCATGTGCAATGGAAGCTGATCACCATTTTGACGATCCAGATTCAGAGGTTGTTGGGAATCTGGCGCCACAACTGAAATATTACAGGGATATCAACATATTTAACATTTACCACTTCAAATTCATTTCTTTGCGGTATTATTACTGAACATTCCACTATCATCTAAACAAAAACAAAGAGTTTATTATTTTTTCTTTTTTCATGGATGTTCCGTCGTCCTGATTTTTTGGGAAGTTTAGCGGATAAACGACAGTAATCCGGGCAGAAGCAGCATTTTGGCGGTGAAATTGTAAACAGTTGTTAGATTTTGAGGAAATTAGGTTTTCTGACCTTCGTTATTCTCTCCTTTAATTGAAGGGGTCTCTTAAAAATTCCAATCTTACCGTCGCTGTTTATACGGGCCATGCTGGTCACACCAGCCGATGAAAAATACCTTTGAAGCTCTGGGAAAATTGAGGAAAGAAGACAAACAAAGTTTAGAAGTACCCGGCTTTTCGCAAGCTAGGTTTACATCTATCTCTATATCAGCTATCTATAATTTCGTGAGGAGAAGTACTCTAAAATTCCACAATAATCATTTACAAGAAAGCAAAATAATGGCGCTACTGGTCATACGTTTCCCGCTAAAGCATCTAGGATTTGTTTAGAAACTTGCTTTTGACAGATGTTTCTATAGTAATAACTGGAGGCTCTTATAACATCATCTGTCCGCACTGAATTTGTAAAAGTATGTTAGTGATTCTTTGACGGCATCAATGGAGTTGACTGTTAGCCGTAAAACTGCCAAAATTTTAGCTTTTAGGTGTAAAATTAGTCCTAAAAGAATTAACCGTACAAAAATTCTGGTGAATGCAAAAGAAAAATATTAATTGGTAGCCGTAAAATGGCCAACATTTTAACCGTTAGCCGTAAAAGCATTTGCCGCTCTTTGCCTGGGTCCTTCCTTGTGCCAACGCGGGTATTGGCTCTTGAGGCAACGTAGCGCGAGTCGAGTTTCCCGCTGTCAGGTGCATGTCGGACGCTCCATTTACCTTCAACGTTATTAAACTACAACCTCCTAAATATCATATAACCTACCACTGCCCTCCTCAGGTTTTTTGGGAAGAGGACTGTCCGTTCTGGCAGCTTGAAATACAGTTCCTGAACCAGTAACATGAGAAAAGCGAAAAAGTATGTTAAAAAAAGGTTACAGGACTTCGTTAATTTAAGGTTAGAATCAGATGCATTCGGCCGTTAATGTTAAAGCAGGCTAAGATAAAAGACTGACGATATTCCTGCCAAAGACAAACGTCAAAAAGTGAACATTTTCCAAAAACTTGACTCACCGAAGTTAGAAGCAACTTCTGTTTCATGTTGGCCTTTGAATAATTGAGCGGTTCCTTGTAAAACAAGGATATGATGATAACTTATAAAACAACATAGATGAGGGACAAAACTTAAGGAAGTTCATTATTTTGATTATTACCGGTTAAAGGTGGCTCGAGTAACTCAATATGCAAAAGTCATCATGATACAAAAGTATTCAATGGCTTTTTTCTGAGCAAAGAATGTTTTATCCTACCTTCTTTCATGTCTTGCCCATCGTCTTTTAGAATTTCTGAGGAATCAGATACTGTTTGAAGCAAAGAGTCTGTTGATAAAGTTAAATAAGAGACTGTTACCCTAAAATTCTTTGAGCAAGGGTTTAGAAAACGAGGGCTACATTTGTGAGCTAATGCAGCTCCTTGATACCTTCAGTGGCTGGAAGAATTTTATCATCACTGATTTCATCCTCACTTGATTGCACGGTTGAAACTGAAAAATTAAATGATATAATGTCACATAGTCCAAGACTGATGGCAAGATCCGGTACAAGGGGGGAGGTGAGGGCTCGGGGCTTGGTCTCTGTAAGATGGGCTTCAGTAGTTACCATGGTGTGGCGGCTGAGAGCGAGGTTGTTAAACCCATTTTGAGCAGAAATTTGGAAAACACTTTTAAAAGTCATATTCGGTTCTAAAAGCGGGAAACTTTTGTCTACCAATAAGGATTTGAAGCTCTTCCCTGAGTCTGAAACAAAAGATGGAAGTATATTTCGGGTTTGAAATAGCATAGCAAATATCAATTATTTTGGCATGAGAAAAGGTAAGGGACTGGTTTAACGTGTTAACATTACCCGGCCGGAAGTGATATTAAACTACCCGGCCAGAGGTACCGTGGTTGTGCCTTTTTAAGTTTCTTCGCATATTTACTCTCGAGACGTTATTTTGAGTTATTTGCAAACTTTTGCGCGCTTTCACTGAGGCAAAAACCGTTTGTATTGACACTTACTATCATCGTCTTTTGATGAAGGATGTGTTGAATGACGTTGAGTTTTCTTTTTGCCATATATAGGCTCTGATAAAATAAAACAAACAACAAACAAAAAAATAAACAAAGAAGGCAGAGATATCACAGTCATAATCTAACATCTGACTATTGCTTTAACCCTTAAATGTCTTAAATTTGATAGTACTTTTCCATAAGCTCTTTTTGCAGTTCATGAGATTCTTGTACCTAAATATTGGATGATCAATGTAGTTTTGAGTGTAGGTCATGATAGGTAAGGTAAAACGTTATTGCATTTAATTTTAACGAATACATGTGCACAAACAGCCATGAGACAGGTTTGTCTCATATTGCTGAGGTAACGATGTATTAAACTAGTATTAAATATGCTTTGAACATGACCTACCTATGTACAGTTCTCTTTGACTCTCGAAAAAGTTCTTCTTCTCTGCATTTTCTCAAAAGAATAGAAAACTCTTTTAGTGATGACTGGGAAACATCTTTTCCTATCAAAGTGCATTTAAATTAATTCATATCAATAGCTTCCTCACAATGAGAATATATGCACAAATGCTTAAAAATTAAAAGACTGAAAAAAGTTTAACATAAAAGGTGTTCGCCTACCAGACGCAACACAATCTTCAATGTAAGTTACCAAGTTCCCTTGTCTATCCTCAAACAGCTTGGCTTCTCTTGAACTACAAAAAGAAACACAGATCATCATTCTTCTAGATCTACTATATTAGAATATTATAACGAATGAGTTATAAAAAAGTTTCACGCTGTCTCAAAGGAAATTGTTAGCCGGGTTCCTTTTCCGCCAGTTTTTCACGCTCGTTAGATCACGCGGCCCCCGTAACTCGGAATGTGCTGTGTAATGGCGGTTGTTTGATTGTTTTGTTATCGATACGTTCATTATCAATATTGCATGCTATTGAACCGAATATTCAATGGAAGAAACGAGGTCTGCAGCGACAAACTTAGCGAAATTTACATCAAGGGAATTTGGTCCTTTAGTCCTAACAGAAATTAAGAATTGTTCGTCAGCTGAAAACAGATTGGGCTGAGACAGGAATTATCAGCTTTTAGGAAGAAAAGCCTTCAGATAATTAGAGTACCTTGGTCAAATGAAAAAGAAAAAGCAACAGGGATAAAAAATTGTTGTTAGATCTTGGCCTGAGACAGGAAATTACTACTTTTGCATTAATACATTTTCAACATATAAATTACAGAAGAACCTTTTGTTTGTGGTGACCCGGTGTAGTATACTCCTCGTGTGCTTGTTTGTCATTTGTCTCTTCAATGCCGCTGTAGTCTTCTTTTTCAAGTGAACATTTCGATTCACAATGAATTTTATTCGACGACATTTCAAACCTGGAGGACGACGATGACCTGAAAACGATAACGAAAAAAAAAAATCCGGTTATGAAATCAATGGAAAAAAAAATGCCTGTCATTAGTTCGATCATCGGCTCCGCCATTAGAGGAGAGCATCAAGGTGAGACTGGGTACCATATACCCCTCGTTCCAAAGGGAAATCATATCAAGTTACGTTTTGAATAGATATCTGGATCAATGTCAGTATCTGAGCAAATGCGCACCTACCCCTCCCCTGACCAAACAACAGTCGATTGATAACAAGTTAAGGTTAATACTGGGTAGGGAAGGGGAAAGTGCACAGTTGCTCGGATTCTGACGTTGATCCAAATATTTTTAATTTCCAGTGAAATAATAATGCTTCATGCTCATACTTTGTTGCATGGATGTTTCAGTGGAGTTTGAGCGGGCGCCACATAGGTTACTCACGATACATTAGCCAATTTACGAAACAAACTGATTAACTGGTTCAAGACATTCCTGAGTTTCCAGAATCGACCCGAAACTTGGCGCGATCTCGAAATACCCTGAGAAAGGTCAGCTTAGGAATAAGGCGTATACGAAGTTTTAACTACCTTATCTTGATCGATCCTTTCATGTTCATTAAAATCTCTCTTTGCCCGCGACAAAATTGTTTGTAATTTAACACTATTTTATTTCTCAATTTTGTTTTAGGTTTAGAATATCATCATCGTTAGAGTTATGTTAACCATGGCATGATACGATTTATCTTTCAGTTAAAACAAGGTGTCCTTAACTCCTTGGTAAGGTCAGCTTGTGTGCGTTGAGGAATTTCCCAGTTGCATAGGATACGGTGATAACGATTTTTATGCTCATCCCTTTGGTAAGATCTCAGGCCAAACTTTCTAATTTTTCTCTTGCACGAGATGAGCAAAAATCAGTGCGATTCATACGCATGTGAGGGCTCATCTCTAACGAGGCCAAAAGAAAACGAAAACTGAGAGAGAGTGTCACTGATCAACTTACCTCTTTGGTGTCTGTGATCAGAGTAAGTCAGGATCCCGTGATTCTTGGGTCGTCTAAAGTGTTTCGCCTGAGTCAAGAGTCGCATGTGTTTATGACGCGAATGATCTTTTGATCGCCTTCCTTTGTGTTTTCCCCCAACAACACTTATTGTTAACACGATTATGACAAAAGCGCTTACAATATAGCAATACTTCATCGTTTTCGATAATGACTAAACAAGTGTCTTTTGTGTTCAACTCAACTTATACAAGAAATGAATGTTCATAAGTGTCACCTGGCTTTTTGTCTTCATTATGAGCTGTGGGCTCTTCAACTCCGAGAGAAAACAAGTTGAACTATACAAGCAGAATAAATAATCAACAACATTTCAAACTCAAGTAATGAATAACTAATGATTAAAATACGAAATTTCAGCACTTCCTGAAATATTTTATCGCGCCAGTGACAGAGAAAATAATCGCTGTTAACTTCAAAGACGAATACACAACAAGAGTAACGAGCAAGCAAAGCGATAAATTTGTTTTCTTTAGTAATTTTTCCCCTTATTTAATGCACGGGGCAGAAATGCGTACAAGCAATGTGGGAGGGGCTCACAATCAAAGTCTCCAGGTACCAAGCTCTTGCTTTGAAACGTTTGAGTAAATCCTGGTTGCCACAAATGTCGTTCCATCATATTTTGTAAACAAATGTCTCACATTCAATGACAACTGATCCAGATAAGAAGTTTATGTCGGTGACGGACGTTACTGTTTCCAATATCAAAATCACAAAACGAAGTTCGAAAATTCACTAATGTTTAAGAAAATTAATCTCGTTCAGACATATCTGAAACTTCTACAGGCAGTCCGAAAAAATGTAGGAGAGATGATAGAGAGCATTTATCTTCTTTTGAGGAAGTGCAAAACGTTTTTTTAATGAAATGAAAACATCAATAGCCTTTTCATACCGATGGATATCTTGTTTTACTGAATCAGCTTTAAGAGAAAACCGAGAAAATGTATTGCAACAATCTGATCAGAAACAAGAGTTGACCGTAAACTTCTATATCAGACTGATTTCGCTCATATTTCCCTATTCTTGTATGTTTTATTGCTTCCACGAAGTCAGCGAGTACAAAAATATGGAAGTATTTTTGATGGAAGCTGTATTTGACCTTGTCAAAACGAAAGTCTTAACTCTAATGAATTGTGGACGGAATAGTGATTGTGATTGTTTTAAAAATTAACAGCAGCAAATATTTACTCATTAGGTGGGAAATTATTGTGAGTGTTACGGTCCTAAAAACACTTTTTAACCGATAATTTATGTGGTTTCAAATGCCATACTTCTCCAAGTGGAATCATTCAGAATGCACGAGCCGCCGGACACTTAAAGGAAAATATATCTTGAAAGGGAAAGAACCCGACCGTGTAAACCAGCCTCAAGGCTTACATCGTCAGCTTATTATCAAACGCTTATCATAATAATAATAATAATAATGTTTATTTCTTATATTGCGCAGTCTAACATGCAATAAAAGATATGATCGAATCATGATAAACTTCCCTGTAGAACTTGCTAACATTTCAACCAGGGATGATTTTGAGGATAGCAGTAGCCCCAGTTGTGGCTACAAAGAACACGGAATGAGAATTCGATGCAATCTCGCCGCCAGATTTGACGGCCAAACAAACGACGGAAGCGTTGGTAAGAGTTTCCGCGTTGTTTTAAAAAAACATGTTGCTGACAACAACCTCAATACCTGGGTCACAAAAAAATCCGTAATTCTTGTGCACTCATCAAGGTCTTCAAAGAAAATTCGGAAAAGAGAGAAGAAAATAGAAGCGAAGATGGCATAAACGCTTTTCCTCTCGAAGGAGATTCTTGTTTCTAGCATCAAAGACAGCGTCGGTGAAGACTGCCTGACCGATCTCAAATCTTTGGACCATAAACTTAAAGACGGGTATTACTTATCGTTAGAGGAGGAAACAACTTGCTGAACTAAAAAAAACCGTTCAAATAACACGACACCCAAATAAAGACCAATTCAGAACAGAGTCGGAACCAAATAGACGAGCAAAATCTCGGCTGAACTCGAGGCAGGTGTAAACATAGACAGCTACTCTCCAAATAATATTACGAAGAGAAGCTTTATTTTCATTTAAAACATCTCCAGAGCTTAGGCTAAGCCATGAATTCTTTCTCTCGATAACTAGTATCATACCATTAATCTCAATACACATCATCTTTACAAGGATGTCTTTTTATAATTACAAGTTTTCTGTCAAGAGAAAGTCATCTTAAACTGAACCCGCGTAAAGATGTACTTTCTATGGCAAAGTTACCTTTTCAGATAAGTACATCTCGCGAGTTTAGACACTAAACGAAGCCAAGGATATTTTGCAGTAAAAATATGTAAGCATAACAAAGGCCAGTGTTACAGAAATATTACAAACCCGCTGGTAATTCTCAATAATCCTCTAAAATGTTCGTTTCCTAATGGAGTGGATAATTGAACTATGCCAATACAATATTCAGATTATTTTTTAAGTTGTTCTTGAAGAGCTCCGGAGCGTGTCTGGAAATAAATTACCCCCTCTTAGGTTTAAAGCAGCTTTGATTTTCTATTCGATCAAATCTGAGACTTAAGCTTCTTTCAGCTTATGAGGATAACTGAGACGTCTTGCTTAAGTATCACAGAATTCAAAACGGGATCATACCAATGCTATATGTTTATCTTGACTATCGAGTTCAAATAATGTTGTAATTGAATGCAAAACTAACACTTATTTGTTAGTTTGTGTATTTGTATTTTTTTCCTAACAAAGACGCCACAAAGTAAAGGAAAGATATAAAAAATACACAAAGAAAAAAAGCAAAAACAAAAACGGACAAAGAAGCGCAGGAAAACAGGAATAGTTATTTTTATCACTCAGCTAATTTAATCCAATTTAAAATAAATCACCGTCTCCCCAGAAGCCAATAATGGATTCTAAACTCGGGCACTCGCATAACCTAGTAAAAGGGACATCTGTTTCGAGAAAGCGAAGTGCATCAACTGTTGAAGATGGAGATTCTGAGTTATTTTAATCAGCTACCCCTTAAGCTTAACTCTTAACTTAGCTTGTAGTCTTTCTTATGGTTTTGCCTTGAATATGAGAGTTATTGAAGTACTCAAATCTTCCAGTGTCTGCCGTACATCAAATGTGCAATCATGCTTGTAACATGCACCGGCCATCAAAAAGGCAGCAAATAATTGTCGTCAACAAATCATTTAGAACCATTCAACAAGGGTTTTCGGCTTAAAATCACGGCTATTATCGAATTTACAACATTTTACTGTTTACAAAATTCCTTCGCCAAATGTTCGTGAGATTTATTGGCAATACAAGTAACTATTCGCTGTGAGGGAAAAAGAACGAAATAACAAAAGGAATAAAAATGATAGAGGGCTCAAGAATTACAAATCATGCAGGCATGTGCTCGTAACAGTGTAACTGATTTTAATTTTGTATCCATCAATGGTAAATAAAATTATCGCATTAGAAGGAGTTCGGAATCTTGTCACACAATGATGACACCCAACCATCAGTGTACAATGCAATTCATTTGCAGTACAAGAAAACATTCCTTTGAAAAAAAATTAATAAAGTTCATTTACGTCAATTTATTATTCTACATTTTTAACATATTGTCTTTTTCACCATCTATATCTTACATGTCAGTACTTCACACGCTAACTAAATTTTGGAAAAAAAGGTTAATTCATGCAAAATTTTCAGCTTGTAGCCAACTTACAGCTTTGTTATTTGTCACAGTATAAATTATTCAAAAAGTTTGCTGAGACACATAGCAGAATAAGTTGACAAAGCTACATGTCCGGGATCATGATCTCAAAGACTCTCCCAACCTTGGCCAAAATGGTGCTTTTCGTATTGAAAATGTCCTGAAACGATGACAAATTGTTTAGTTGCAAATTGATCTTCACGTTATGTATGAGAATACGGAGCTATCCTGATCTTATGTCCCATATAGGTTCCCAAATGCTTGAGTTAATTAATTCTAACAGCTTTAATACCCAGTGTCTGTGTTTTGGAATGTTAGCGGAAATGAAGCTAAGTCGTCGTACTGCACTCATCCTAAGAATAACAAGCTGTTACTTTAAAGGTCTTTGTTATAAAAGTGGCTGCTTTAGCATCCAAGAAAATGTATGGGAAGTTCAATGATACAAAATGTTTTAGTTGTTTGTTAGATGTCAACTCAAGATGGCGGGCGGTCGTGGCTCTTTGTCGTTCAGCAATTTGTCATGTACGCTCCATTTCTTCCTATAATTTTCAAGGTTATGCCTTTCGCCGGTCCAACACTTTGCTTGCCTCAGAGGAAATCGTTCACAGCACGATTCCAGCTCATCATAAGCGTGATCTTCCACCGAAACTGAACTCGAACAGTGATCAGTGATGTCTCCACCAATCCTGCCGTCTAATCTTGCAGAAGACCAGCTCAAAACTCGCTTAATTTCAGAAACTTTCTTCCACACTCAGTTAGATGCCATTCGCTAGTCAGTTAAGGATAAATCCCTCCACATACTACAATCTCGAAGACGTGGCTTCACGCATTTCATGTATTTCATTTCAGCCTCAACTGAAAATGATCAGATCGAACTCATCCGACAACAACAACAAAGCTCCCATTACCTAACCGCCAAACGTTATTGACGACGAGAAGGCTACTTTATCAACGCCTCCAGATGACATTGCAGTTATCTTACTGGGGATTTTAACATCGACTCCGCTAACGTAAAGAAGGTAAATCTACCTTTGCAAGCAAATTACAGGACTAAGAAAATTTTCATATTCATGCCGGCATCTGATTCAGTCAAACTTCTGCCAGAGTAATTGCTATTAATGCGTGTTTGAACTCATCTTTATGAAAAAAAACATCGTGTCGTAAAGAATGGTGTGTTTCAGCTAGTGCACCTCGTAAGCATTAAGAAGAGCGACTGGTCGAACTCACCTAAATAACTGCATACCTATTGTAATCTCATCTATCCAAAGCAACGTCAAGGGAATCTTTTTGCCAACCTTATGGAGAGGAACTTGCTAGCTCCCAAACATTTTGGTTTTCAGTTACTCAAATGTTTCCATTAAGATGTCTCTTCCTCATCTCACGGATGATATTTTGAAAAATATGGACGCTGGCGTCAGCTCAGGTGCTATTTTCTTCGACCTGCAAGGCTTTTGGTGTTTTTGACCATCAACTCTTGCTCGGGAGACTTAATTTTTAGGTTGGAACTGATTAGCTCGTTCAATTGCTTTAAGCTGTACCTTCTTACGTATGATGCAGGATCCTCGCAGTAGAGAGCGCTATTTATGCAATAGCGAAAATCAGACCTGAAAAAAATCAGGCCTGTACGGGATTCGAACCACTGACCTCTGCGATACTAGTGCAGCGCTCTACCAATTGAGCTAACAGGAAGCAGGCCGTTAAGTTGATTTGTGAATAAACCCGTCTACTATTTAGCATCTCCGAGGATCGTGCATCATATGTATCTATAACCGCAGTTCAAAATATATGAACTTCATATATTCATGGTATCTGTACCTTCTTACTCGCAAACAGATTACCACAAATACAAATTGTTTCTAATCTCCTAAACCTCTCACAGTTGGAGTACTTCAAAAGCATTATACCATTCTAAAGCTGCTTCGCTCCAGTAGAAAACAAATCTACTCACCCTCAACTTTGACAAATTATAATTTTCTTTTATTTGAAAATAAACATCGTATTCGAATCAACAAACTTCTTCTCAAGAAGTTTGTTCCTGTAAATGTTCAGTGGCGAAACTCAGTTAAGACCTATGCTAAGGTAATCATGTCATAAACATCACAAAAAGGTAAACCAGTGACTTGGACTCCTTGCGAGAATCAGCTGCATACATTGTGTATGCTCGCTTCACACTCGCTCATCCCGCTTGACTCTCCACTCTTTTTTCTCTTTCAAATCATTTGGATTACACTGAATACAAAATCAATAAAAGATAAAGGAACAATCCGTAAGTCCTACAAAGCTAAGCATCGATAATCATCCTCGCAAAACGAAGATACTCCTCCTCTACGGAAGCTCTTAAGATATTAGAAGAGAAACTTCTGAATCGCGGACGACACAAGCACCACAGGGATTTGTTTTGTCTTCAAGTGCTTAAATAAAATCGTTAATTCCAACTCAATAGTACCTCCATCCATAACTAAAAAACTGCTAACGTGAAAACCTGTACCTTATATTACTGACTACGAAGCAGGATGGAGAAAGCAGAAACTTACAAACCGGGCAGCAGATATTTTTTTACAATTAATTATCTTAGTTATGAAATACCGATGATCATTTCGATCTGACTCATTATTACTCAAGAAGTAAGAGGAACTTTCTCCAACACATTTTTCAGGTTTGCTTACATTATGTTTTTTCTCCATTCGGGGTTTTAATCCTAGCTTTTTTCCACGTGTTACTCCATCTTTTCTTTTTTTATTGCGTCATTTATCTTTAACGGGGTCCTTCTGAAAACCATGTCCGTGAGGAACGTAATCACTCTATAAACACCATCCTTAACATTGTTATTATCTAATTGATATACACTAAAAGCTCAAAGGTAAAACACTACATGCAAGGAGTCCTGTTTTGTGAGACTATTGATAAACACTTAAAGCTCAAAGGTAAAACACTACATGTAAGGAGTCCTGTTTTGTAAGACTATTGATAAACACTTTT